GCTTTTTCCGGACGTTGTTCGATTTACCGAAGCGTTTACGGACTTACTTTCGGGTGACCTGCGAGACGCCGAGCTGTTCGATGGTTCGCTGTTACCACATCTCATCGATTTTTCTGCGGCGCTTGCAGATAACAGAACAAGTAGAAACTATGCGTACGCCGCACCATATCTTGCCAATCTCATGGAAAACACGTCTACTTCAAAACAAGAATCGCGTGAATACTCGCAAGTGAATTGGAGCGCAGGCGCGGAAGACGATCACAGAGCTGTTCCTAAGCCGACGCAGCCAGTGCTAAGCAGACTGCGCGCATACAAAGTTAATTTGGAAGAGCATGGCGACGCGTTGCCGCAGCAATTCTACGTGCTAGCGAACGAGAGAAGAATGTATTCTTGTAAAATAATAGATAGCGGCGCGGTCGGTGGTCCGTCTGCGGGTGCTGGAGACGGGACAAATCAAGAATCGAAGCCGATTGTTACACGACCGCCGCAAAACCAAGACGGAGGCAGTATTTTCGATGTGCAGAAAGGATTGAAGAGCTTGTTTGAGAATCTTTTTCAGAAGAAGCTTTCACTGCTGGAATCGTTTCTCGACGGAACACTTCTGAGTAGATCCGCGAACATTTTCAGCTCAATTGATCAGCCAGTAAAGCCAGCAGCAGCAAGCGGGTTCGATGCCCCGTTTGGAATGGATTATGAAGCGGGATCGCGAGCGGGTTATATGCCGAGCTCAATCAACGGCATGCGTCGATTTCTGCAAAAAATGAGATCAACTAATCTTCGCGACCAGTCAGCTCCCGAGGTAGATGAAATTCACGAGCCCACTGTGAGACTTGGACACGAGGGGGAAAAGACCGATTTCATCGAGGGATGGCATACCGAGATCAACAGCAGTTTGGTTGACGAAGAGGTGTCGATTAAAAAATTTGAACTCGGAAATCTACTGAATCGCGGTCGCGAAGCGCTGCGAAACGGGGTGAATGGTGCTCGCTCGTTTATGGAGCGCAAAGAGAGCCAGGAGATAAAAGATGCGGTTGAACAATCGTTATCTGAAATTCCAATATTAGGCTCAGCAGCTGTGGCTTTGACAAAGTCGAGCTTGTACGGCGCCAAACTTTTTGGAGAGGGCATTGAGCACATGATAACGGATTCTAGTTAGGTCGTTTTGCACCGCGTTTTGTCAGCAGTACAGCACTCGGGATGCAGCGTGCAGTTGATTAGTTTGCTTTCGGTGGCTAGGTTCAGAAGCATTTCCTCCTTTTCTCCGATTACGTTTGCTACAGCGTTGATAGGGTTGAGGACAGTTTTTTTGACAGCGTGATCGAGTCCGTTTGTGTAGTAAGCTGCCTCATCTCCCAGCAAGCCAAATGTCTCGCGAATGCCTCTGAGGTTATTGTAGCTTCGCTCGAGATTTGCACGCAATTTTGCGTCTCTCAGTTTAATTGAATTTTGGGTCACATGAACGAGCGGATTCAGTGTGCTGAGGTAGCCAGCTTCAATGCTTCGCGCTTTATCGTAGGCGGAGAGCTTAAGATTTTCAATAGACTGCCTAGGAGCAACAGCGCACTTACGTTTTCAAGCTGGTTATAGCCGAGGTTGGGCAGCTGAAGGCCGAACAGAAGCGGGTTTCGGGATATGTTGTTGTTACGCACCGCGTTTGTGTTGAGTTGTTTTGGTGGTCGAAACAACGCTTGAAACCAATTTGTCCCTGACGTCGCTGCAATTTGCGGAACATAAGACTGCGCAGCTGTTACTGTGAGTGAGGCGATCATTAGCCGCACATATGCGCCTGTCATAGCCCAAAGTTTATGTAGAAAAAGTGTAAGGAAAACTAGAAAACTGTCGTGTCGATACACGATTCAGCGCAGCACGCAGCAGATCTGTGGATCAAACTGGCAGCTGGCGCGTCGCACTCAGCAGATCTGCTAAACATAGCGGCAGACGATGCGTTGTGCGCAGCAGATGTGCCAGTCAGAACGGTAGTCAGCGCTTCGCGTGTAGGTCGGTATTTTAGAAATCGGCGACTAACCGTAATAAGCAGCACACTTTTTATACGAGCGAGATGTCTTCAAAGTAATGGCTGAAAACTTCTTGGGAGTTGCCGCTTTTCATTCGGGCTTAGATAATTGGCACCGAAATTTGAGCAGCGAGGACCTCGAGTACTGCATTGTCAACGGAAATGCCGAGCTGTTTGAGGAGCGCTATAAGGTAAGTCTAGCGGGCGCTGCTTTAGATTTGGCGCGAATCGGGCAATAAGGAAGGCGACAAACACAAACTATTTGCAATTGCTGCACTCTCGTTTGTAGAGAACAACGACAGAAGGAAAGATTCTGCTCTACTATCTATTTGCTCTGCATTGTGCGACAATGACTTCGATGTTTTGAAGCGCGATGCGCGAGGCGACACAATTTTACACGTGGCTGCGCTAAAACTTGACGCTAACGGTTTGTTCAAGCTGCTAAGCTTGCTCGCGCTATTGAAATACTGCGACGGTGCGCTGGGACCAAAACAGCGTTGGAACAAACAGATTAAGCTCAACACTGAAGATTCCGCGGCTCGCTACATGTGCGACTTGCTATTCGTTGTTGGGAACTGTTACCGAAACGTCATTCACTTAATTGCGATACATCACAGCAGCGTGGGTAACGGATCACTGCGTGCCTTATTGATGCTGTGCCGCTTTCCGCAGAGCGGAAGGCTAAACCGCGGAGACGCGTATGGCTGGTCACCTTTGCACTATGCAGCGCACTTTCAGAATAAGTTTGCTTTCGAGACTCTTGTTGCGGCGGGAGCTGATTTATTTGCCACTGATTTTTTGTCGCGAACGCCGTTCCACATCCAGTCGGAAAAACTTAAGGTTCAGGGTGTGAGCCGATCGAAGGACAGAATAAAGCTCGAGTCTCGGGCGGATAAACCATATAGAGCTTTTACAAAGCTGTGCCAGCCTGCGAGTCCGCTTGTGCTGTTGAGTTTAAGCGCGCTCGCGTTTCTAAACATCGCCTTAGCGCTGTTTGTGTACTCAGCATTATACAGAAGCTTTACTGAACGTCACAGTTACTCGATTGTTGCAGTCTCAGTTTTATTGCACTATGTGCTAGACTCACTCATCAGCAGATCGGTTTTTCCGTTGCAAGCGGTCGCGATGCTCACAGCGAAGACTGACTTGCAAATTGTATTTGCGTACAACGTGTGCTATTGGAAGTTTTGCAATCAGCAGCAAGAAATTCGAAAAGCTCTTTCGAACTACCAGAAGTGCCTGTATTCCGTACATTCCGTGAACTCGCGCGATGATCAACTACATAGTCCAAATGCAGTGAGTTCCATACGATGTGACACGAACTTTAAGTGGCCTTACTCTGTCGTATGCCGATCTCTGGACGTTGCACAAAGCGAGCTCCCGTATTTGCCGATGTTCGTGTGCTGGCTAATGCGCAACAGACTGATGATCACCGAACTGGCACCCGTGCTTCCGCTTCAGCATCGAAACAGACAACGTGGAGCGATGCCTTCGCCAGTACCACAACTAGAACGTGTCGGGGTGCACTGCGTTTCGCCGCTTGCAGCGAGTTACAGCATGAATATTCCCTCGCCTATTCCTTTATCTCGCAATACGCAACTGAAACGAAAAGTAACTTCGCGGTGCAAAACAGTAGATCCGTCAGTATGCGATTTGCAGCTTCCGCAAATGTCGGAAGCCAATGATTCTGAATACACTGGAGAATCTGAAGCGGGAGATCCAAGCGTGTCAGTTAACGAATTTGCTGCATGCCGCGTGTTGGCTCGCGAGACTGCTTTCAAAGACGCTGTGTACTGTGTGGAAAGAAACGACTTTGGCATGCTTTACAGTGGTAATGAGCCTTCAAGGCAGTCTAGCGACAACGAAATCATCAGAACGCTGATAGAAACGCCCTTTTGCGAAGCAGAGGCACGTGCGTATTGCAACCAGTGTTCGGATTACGCCGACAAATATATGTCGCAAAGCGACGGTGTCTTAGATTCTAATGAGACGAACTCTGCAGACAAGTTTTGCATTTTGCAGAATCACAGCAGTCAAGAATTGCTAGGCCGCGCGCAAGACTATAGAACTACTCTAATCGACACAACATGTAGAGTAGTGAGGAAATCCAAAACCGCAAGCGCACTTCGAAACGTTGCCGAGTTGCACGCTGGCAGTAAGCTCGATACAGAGAATCAAGTGCAACGAGCTTTGTGTGAACAACAGATGCAAAGCAGTTCTAGTTGCGCAGAGAGCGAGATTGCTGACTGTGCTGAAGTTGTATCGGCAGCCGCACTTTCAGATACAAAGAGCGCCTCTCGAGGCGATTCAATAGTTTGCTTGTCTCGCGACAAATGTTCGACAGGAAGCGCTTCGAGTTGCCTATTTGAAAAAGAGCGCTTCTTCACGCTCTACGCTGCTTGGAAAGAGAACTACGAAACGTGCAGAGCAGAGCTGAGAGAATCTCCGACGATCAGCCACGTGCAAAGTGTAGAAGACGCACAAGACGACCCAAAACATTGCGCGGGAATGGTGGAGCGTTTAATGCACTCAATCCAAAAGTACAACAGCGCCTTTCCTGCGAAAACGTTTGCGGGTTTGTTGGAGCTGGCCGGTGTAGAAAGCTCGCGTTTCGTTTCGGAATCCGAGGCGATGCTGTTTGTGTTGCGTATTGACGCAGCGCTGGCGCGAGAGTCGACATTTGAGTCCGCGGTGTACGTCGACATAGACGTCAAGCAGCGGCGCGGACTCGAGGAAAATGTAAGAAACCAATTTAAGGCTTTGGCCGAAAATGGCGACGCAGTTTATAGCGTGAAGTCAGTGTTGCACAAGAAACGCGCGAGTAGCAGGACGCTATTTCGCATGACTTTAGCTGGCGTCTTCGACGCGGTGTTTCTATGTGCGGTTTCGCTAGCTAATAAAGAAATCTTTGAAACGACGTTTTATTTTAACATCGCGCGAGTGGCTGCGTACGCAGCCACTCTGGGTTTGTACACGGCTATGGTCACTAGATGATTTGACGCTTCGCATCCGCTTTCTGTTTGCTTCTCTGAGATGCTGCGGCAAACGCAAGAAACACTTCTGAAGGATTCTCCAGACTAGACTTGTACTCAGGATGGAACTGCGTGCCGAAGAAAAACGCATGCCCCGGCCTCTCAATGATTTCGTAGCGTTGGTTGCTGACGTCAATTCCGGAAAATACAAAGCCAGCGTCGGCGAACAAATTCTCGTATAACTTGTTAAATTCGAATCGGTGGCGGTGCCGCTCGTGCACGGTCTTCCTTTTGTAGATCTCATAAGCCAAAGAAGTTTCGGAGAGGATCGAGGTAGCATGCTCCCCGAGTCGCATCGTGCCGCCGTAGATCTCGCGAGAACTGTCGGGCAGGAACATGATGAAGTTGTCGGGATCTGTAGCGCCGAACTCCTCACTGTTTGCGTTGGAGTAGCCGAGCACGTTCTGTGCGGCTTCAATGCACATGAGTTGCATTCCGAGGCAGATGCCCAGGATAGGTATGTCGTGCGTGCGCGCGTGCCAAATCGCCTTGATCATGCCCGCTGTGCCGCGTTCGCCAAAACCACCAGGAATGAGCACGGCGTGGCACGAGCAGAGCGTCTCGTAGACCTCCTCGGCTTGCTTGGGATCGGCGTCTTTTTCAAGCAGCTCGGCGCTGATGTTGACCAGTTTAATAGGAATGTTGAGCCGGAAGGAAGCGTGTTCCACAGCTTTCACGACGCTAATGTATGTGTCATTTGAGGAGTGGTACTTGATCACGAATGCGATGCGTACCGAGTCGGCGTTCCGACTCTGTTCAAAAAACAGTGCCGCCGCAGAGTACAGACCGAGAGCGCGGTTTGACGGTTGCTGGGCGAGAGATGGCGCGGGCTGGAGTTTCAGTGCCTCCGCCAAGCGCACCGCGCATCCCTGCAAGTGCAAGATTTGTGGCGCGAAGTACAGGTTGGAAACGTCGTAGCAGCTGAATATTCGCTCTTGCGACACGCCGCTGAAGGTCGACAGCTTGCTCAGCGACTGTTGCGTCAGCGGATCTGTGCTGCGCGCGAAGATGAAGCTGGGAAACAAGCCGGACTCGCGGAGCGCACGGAAAGAGTGCTGTGCACACTTGGTCTTTTGCTCGGCAGAAACCGTTGGCACAAAAACTAAGTGGCAGAGTGAAACGTTATCGGCGCCTCTTCGGTGCACAAACTGCTGAATCGCTTCGAGGTACAGAGAGGATTCGATGTCACCGACGGTGCCGCCGATCTCAACAAGGCAGACATCATAGCACTCCTCAGATTCGGCCAGCTGCGAGAACATTTCTTGGATGCAGTCGGTGACGTGCGGAACCATTTGCACGGTTTTGCCCAAGTAGCTGCCTTTGCGCTCCGCGTTGAAGACGGTGCTGAAGATCTTGCCAGTGGTGATGCAATTGCTGCTTGAAAGTTCGATGTTGAGCGCGCGTTCGTAGTTGCCTAGGTCCAAGTCAGTTTCGCAGCCGTCCTTCAAAACGAATACTTCGCCATGCTCGAAGGGCGAGATAGTGCCAGCGTCGAAGTTGAGGTAGGGGTCGACCTTTATGGCAGTTAACTTGAGGCCGATGTCGCGGAGCAGAATTGCAAGAGAGGAGACGAGGGTGCCTTTTCCAAGTCCACTAATGGACCCCTGAGTGCGACGTAGCGAGACTTACGCCAGTTACGATGACGAATTTCATTGCCCTTGAATCAATATTAATTTTGGCTAGGCCTTTTGTAAAAAGCTATATTCGCCTGTCAAGCGCTAGTCTCTCAGTGATGTTCTTCGCTTTGGTTCATGACTAATTTGGCGCCGCATGTGCGCGACGAGCGCGCGCAGTTTGCGGCTCGGCAAGCGATTTGGCCGGATACACTGCCTGCCGTCCCGCGCGACTTTTTGACTGTGGCCAGCACGGTCAGACTCACGAGCTTGGGCTTGTCCACGAACGTGGTTACGCGCAAGCTGAAGACTCAGAAGAGCACTGGTGTTGCTGCGAACATTATATGCCCCCTGACTGCCAAGCAGCATGTCATCCGCCGGCAAGTGCTGAGTCGCGCTGCTGCGAGCGCGCCTGCCGCTGGCGCTTACCCGGATTTGGTATCTAGCTTTGTTGACGAGGCAAACGCGAAGCGCGGCGCGGAGCACGCCACGATTTCGAGACCGGCCGTTGGTACAGCAGCGCGTGAGCCACGCGTTCCGACGCTGCAATCTGTACCGATGCTGCTTCACTCAACTATGTGGATCACCGACAGCGACTTTGTGTTGATAAGCGCCATGAAACAGCGCTTGCAGCACTTTTTCGCGAAGCAGGGGAGCTTGTCGCGACATAAGATGTTCGGACACGCCCGTGACTCGGATAGCGGCTTGATGAAGTCTTCCATTTCGCTGTTTCTAGAGCTCGATCCTCCGCACTGCGCTGCAGGCGTGCACAGCATCCTGCGCTACGGCCAGTGCGTGGACTGCGACGACTGCAGCCGGTACACCGGCAACTACCTATCTTTGTTTGGCGCAGTGTGCATCAACATCATGATGCAGATCATTGACATTAGCTTTTGCCGCGGTGCTTCGCAAGCCGACGCCGTCTTCAACCTGCTGAACTACTTGGCAAAAGGGCCGCAGGCGTGCATCTCGCAGCACAACATCGGAGGCCCGTTTTGCGAGTCGCAAGCTTCTGCTGTGACTGCGCGCGAGTGCGAGCTCGGTCGGCAAACGCGGTCGCTGGTTGCTGGAGCTGCAGTCGGGGGAGGATCTTCGTCGGCTGGTAGTAGTGGTCCGGCTGCTTCGCGTAGTTGCGGCGTTCTAGTGGAACCGAAAGCTGCCGTCAAGGCACCTGTCCTTGCAGACGCCGGTTTGACGCAGGGCCCGCTAGACGGTTCGTTCACAAACGCGACGACAGAGCCAACGACTGCAGTGGAGTCTGCTGGACCGTGCGAATCTATTACTGCGCCAGATCAGTCTGCCCATTTAACTTTGTGTGTCTCAGCCGCAAAGCCGGTGCAGACCGCGTCTGCAAACGATGCAAAGCTGGTTGATGCGGCACACTCAGAGTCGCAGTTGCACGCTGGCGTCGCATCTTCGCGAACAGCAGCGAAGGCGCGGCTTGAAGGCGCTTCTGAAATTTTGAATCGTGACGAGCGCGCCCTGCGGCAGTGTGCAGAGCAGCAGAATTGCACTCCGGGTGCTGTCACGCAGCTCACGTGCGTCGGCAGCGAGCAACCGGCCAGAGAACCGAAGCTTGCCAAAAAAAAAGCGTTCATCGCGGGAGCCGCTGGCGACAAGGCTATGCAGGACTCCCATCGGGAACAGCGGGCTCAACCTTCTGCCAGAGCGGCAGCACCGGGCGTAGCTATTCTGGACACCGAGCAGAAGCGTAAGACTTCTTTGCGATGCGTAATGCGCGACACAGGCGTCCGCGTGGCTGGAGCGAAGCAGGTCGTTCCAGCCCGCGCGCCCGTTGAGGCAAAAGCTTCTGCAGCGAACCCGCGATCCGCGACAGCTGCACGGAAGAGCAGCGCTCTCGGGAAACAGTTGAGTCGCTCTGCAAGCGCACGCGACTCGCTTCGAGAAATGCCTACCGCGCAGCGCACGGAACAAAAAGCTCTTGCGTCTGAAGATTACGATACATTGGTTGAGTTGGAGCCGTGCACTCTGGCCGCCACTTACGCGCTGCTCTCGGACGCGCATATCTCGCGCGTGGCGCACTTCTGCAGTTTGTTGCTGCTCAGCGAGAGTGGCTGCGCAATGCTGAACTCAATGCTTTCGACACTCGTGCAGGAAGTGTTAAATAGAGAGCAGCGTAGCTTGGAGATGCTAAAAGTCGCATCATGCGCGCTGCTACAGAAGTTTTCGAACTTGCTGGTGTTTACGAGCTACAACATCGCCGAACTTTGGCCATCGCCGAACATCGGAATCGCGCGAAGCCGCGACGCGGACGAGCAGTTCAGCGAGTTTTGCGCTGCATTGCTCGCAGCGCTTGCCGGATGCGAAGAAACCTACCACGGCACCTATTTGCGCAGAATCGTGATTCTGACGCTGCTCAGCGCCGTGCTATGCATGCAGCTGGACCCGGTATTTGCGTTGCTGCTGGGGTTTGAGGTGTTCAGCACCATTCTGCGCGCGAAACGGCTCGCAGAACAGAAGAAGCTGAGCTTTGTGGAACTGCAGGTTGACAACTTCATGCAGTGTTCGTGGCTCACGACGTTCGCAGTTTTCGTAGCGCGCGCCTTCGACAAGGCTTCAAAATTGGGGCTGCTGCACGCTGATTCCGAGCTGTTTGATGCGGAGGCGCGCGAAAAGTACATTGACTCAAGTTACTGGCTATTCGGGCGAGTGTTGCTGACGTACATCTCATGTCGCAAAGCAATCTTTTCAGGCGTGTGCACCCGCAGCCACTACGTGCTGCTGGAAGCTGTTAGCGCCATCTTCAGCGTCGAGCCGGCGCTCGGCGCTGGCTTCGACTCTGTGCGGCATCTCGTAGAGCAGCAAACGCTCAAGTCGCTGGAGCGCGTGCGCGAAGAGGTTCGTGCGCTCGGCGTGACCGTCGTCGGGCCGCGAGAAGCCAAGACTGCGCAGCCCGCTAGCCCGCCAGCAGACATGGACCCCGAAAAGCTCATTATCGAAGCTGAGCTCGCCGAGTTTGTGAACATGTTTTGAGCGCAAGCGTTGTTCAAGGAGATTTGGTTTGCCGGCTACGCGATGCTCGCGCTTCCGAGTTTTTTGTGCACTAGTATTTTTAGTTGACGAACCACTCGTGCGCTTCCCTTCGTACACGGGGAAGAGTGCGAACCCGATGCGCTAGCAAAATATAGAATGTGCTGCGGGAGCGGCTGTGGTTTATATGCGAGTGTGTGCGGCGTACAACGAGTTCAAATTTCGATGTGTGACGCGCAGATCTGGTTCGTCGCCGTTGCCTGAATCGTAGCGTTCAAGTTTCATTGAGTCGAAGTTGTGAAGCCGTTGTAATGGTGAAGAAACAGCGCTGGAAGTATCCGCGCAACCGTCTTGTGAGTGGCAAGCAGCGCGCGCGCAGCAGAATTTGTGGGGTTTACGTTGAGTTACCGGTCGACGCCCATGCAAACGACCAGCTTTGCGTGCAGCAGCTGAAAAGTTACGCTCGGTTGGCGGAACCTGTTGGCGATTCGCTGTGCACGCATGAATCACCATTTTCGTCTTGGCAACCAGAACCTGAGACGCGCTCCGAGGAAGCGCCGGCTGCTCGACGTGCGGAGCAGTGCGCTGTTACCGCAGCGCCCGCCCAGAGCTCGAGTCGGAAGCAAACTGTCTCGAGCGAGACGGGCAGCGAGCTTCCAGAGAAAGACGCTGTACAGACTCGCGCTAAAAACGAGAGGGGTGAATCGCAAACCGCCTCTGGAAGCGCGCCGTCCTCGCGCGATGAAAAAAGTCCGGAGCAGCAATCTACGGCACGCGCAGGTTCTCGTGGCGCAGGCTTCGACGCTGTGAGCGCAGGCACCTCTCGCCGCCGCAACGGGAGACGCAGTGCGAGACGCGAATCTAAGCCAACCTTCTGGAGCTGCGTCCCGCCGGACCTGCGCCGCGCGGACCGAGGCTTTTGCCAGTCGTGCGGCGCAGCTGGCGCTGACGCAAGCAGCTTACTGGCATCTCTAGCGAACACGCCGCGACACCGCAGCTGTTTCGGGGACCTCAACCCCGAGTTCATTCTGGATCACTGCTATGAGATGCCGGCTCGAGAAGCGCTGTGCTCAGCGCGTGCAGAGCGAAGGTCTAGCGACTGCTTTGCGCTAGCGACGCAAGCTTTCCGACCGCTGACACCGAGTTGCCGAAACGCAGCGAACAAACTGCGGAACTCCGATCTCGAAACCGCGGGAGTTGAAGCGCTGCGTGTGTTTCGCATGGGAAGCGCGGCATGCGTGCAAAAGACGCCGCGGTACTCAACGCGCTGTGTCGAGCACGAGTCGAAGATGCGCCAGGTCGAGGAGTCCGGTTGTAGCCTGCACCGCATTCTCACAGACCTTAGCGCTTCGCGCAGAGCGTTGAGTGAAAGCGAACTATGCGCGCAAGACACCAATTGGCAATACGAGCCAAATACATTGTTTCGTCGAGCCGACGAGCGCAGCCTTCAAAAAAGAGCGAGCGACCCAGACAAGAAGTGCGCTCCGGACGAGCTAGAATCGCTCAAACAGCTGAAAAAAAAAACAGCCAAGAAGCTGGGAACAGCCATCGGGGACTTCGGTCGCGCCGGCAGCCAAGCTGCCATTGACTGGCCGCACCCGATGCTGGTTTGCGTTCAACGTGCAGAGTCGTCAATGAGTTTTGTGCAGCACGCGTTTGATACGTTCTTCGATGAGCTGCTGCTTAGCGCAGTGCGGTCGTCCAGATTTAAATCAGTCGATTTTTCGTTGCAATTCCTCGTTGAAAATACGAACGCGTGATGAGCGCGATCGACGAATGCGGGCCCAACTCAATACTCGCAAGCACTGCGCAGCACTGTCAAAATGTGCTCCGAAATATCGCGCTTATTTACGAAACGATCGAGGCGCAGCACGAGACCTCGCAGACGCTGCTGCTCGACGAGAGCTTGGCGCCGTTCACGCAAGCGGCTGACGAGATCATCGCATCGGTCGCCACGATCCAAGCAACTCTGCTAGCCGCGGCGGAACGCTGCGGCGAGCAGGAGGAGCCTCTGGTAAATCTCGCGCTGCCCTCTTTGGAGATTGGTAACATCGTCGACGCGCTCGAGCTGCACAGTAATTGACGCGCGGTGTAAATTTGAATTTTTTGCCTGATAACTGACTGCATGGTGAGCGGCGCCCCGCTCGCGGGTGCGCCTCTCGCAATGCTGGACACTTGTTCTGCAGAGCTCTTCGCGGCGGTTTACGGAGCGACGGTGTCTGCGCTGCGCGAAACGCACGGCGATGGGCTGCAGCTGTTGAACGAGCTGTCGGCACTTGCTGCAGCAGTGGGTGACGAGTTGAGCGCTGTCTACTTTTGGAACGTTGACCCGGACCTGCTGAATGACTTTGCTATGCTAGCGGGCGAGTTGCTGCAGCAGCTGCTTCCGAACTTTTTTACAATGAGCGCCGTGATGTTCGAGGCGGTCGCGCACCGAGCGCGCTTTGAGCTACGCTTTCGCCAAGGTGCCTTCGCTCGCGCAACGGAATTTGACCTGCAGAACCTGTACTATGAGCGGTTTGTGCTAGAGGTTCTGCAAACGGTGTTGCGCAACTGCGGTTATTTCGTGGCTGTCAACTACGAATGCGACTCGTTGTATTCGTTAAATGTGCTCGCCGTGGGTCCGGCGCGCTGCTGAATCGAACGCGCTGTGACTATTAGAGCTGTAGCACGCCAGAGCCGACGCAAACCTCGCGCGTGGTAGTGGCAGTTCGCTGCGGCTGCGCTTCTACGGGCGCAGCACCGGGCCACGCAGCACCGGGCCACGCAGCGCGCGCGCTTTGTGCCGAGCTGTGCGTCGGCGTCTGCTGCGTGGTTGCGACGCCTGAGCTTTCCCTAGAAAATGAATAGTGAGTCGTATCGTTTGGACGGTTTTTGTTGCTGCTGCTATCGTCTGACGACGCGGCTTGTGCGTGCTCCAGCGGTAGGTTCGGGGCAATAGACGCATTTAGAGCTTTAACAGTTGGCGCGGGCGTGCTGTTGTGCTGCTGCATCTTACCGAAGCAGTAATCGAATTGAGAGATCGTGCGTTGGTGCGCAATGTCGTATAGCAGCGTTTTGCGTACCAGCAGGTTGCAACTCAGAGGAAACACGATTGCCGAGCGCCATGCACAGCCCCCGAAATCGCAATGCCAAGGTGTCATTGCGACAGAATCGCGCGTGACATGCAGAAAGTAGTACTGCCCGACGTCCGTTGGTTTGCTCGTGGCATGCACCAAAAAGCAGTTTGCGTGGAGGAATTGTACGCTAAGTTGCGCTGCTTGTGCGTTACGAAGAGGCGCACTTAGCGCGAGGCGCTTTGCGTGGCTGTTGGTCTCGAGAAGCAAGTGCGTGGCGGTCGCGGTTGCGTCGCGCTCGAGTGACACTACCGCCCATTCATCGCGCCAACGGAGTAACAGTCTGCTATAGACGTTGTTGTAAGGCGCGTGCGACCAGCCGTTCGGCGATGAGCCGTTTGGAGGGTAGGTGTGGAACGACCAACGAGTAGTTGAGGCGTTATCATCGCCGCGGCCACGCTTAAGCGCGCAAAGCTCGCCGCTGGCCGCATCGCGGCCCATAGCTACCAGCGTGTGGTCGTGCGACGACAAGGGCGGACTAGTGGAGCGTATTGTGTTTGTAGCGAGGTCGAGTTCAAGAAAAACTGCTGCTGCGCTGGGCACAGCAGGAAACAGCACAATTAGCAGCGCCGCGGGCCCTGCTGGCAGCAAGAGCACAGCGGGCGCTGCACTGCTATCCGCGCTGCTCAAGAGCGCGGCGGTTTTCGCAGTTCCGCGCGCGGCTGCATGATGCGCTGTTGCACTTACAAAACCGATAAATGCGGCGGTTGACGCGCGGCGCACCGGCGTCCAACCTGTATCCGCCTGCGGCAAAAATATAGGCGCCTGAGACGCACTGAGCGTGGTGCAAAAGCAGCGGGCTGCGCGATAAGCGCCAGTGCAATGGTTGCGCAACGAATGCGCTTTGCGCGCTAGCAGAAGTGTAAATCGCTTTGATTTTCGGAGGTTCAGCAATAACTGCTTTTTGCGGTTTTCCTATATAAATTACTGCGATGGCTTGGCACGAATCGCGCTTTGTCGACAAAAACTCGAGCCGTGCTGTGAAAGTTGTGGCCGTGACGATTGTGGTTTTGCAGCTCATGCTCGTGACTTCCTTGTACAGTGCGTGGCCGCAGTTCATATCGGTTTTGAAGCGCGCGCCGGCGGTAGCAGTTGCGGCGCGGTTCGGCACGTACTGCGCTCCTGATGCTAGCGACTCGGCGGTATGCGCCATAGTCGATAGCCGTTTCAGAAGGTTGCTATACATTTGCTGTGGGTTTGAAGCGCTAGCGGCACTGCTCGGCGGTCTGTGGGTTGACAAGATTGGCGTGCGCAGCGCAGCGATGTTCGGCGGCCTGATCCAGATGATTGCCGTGCTGTTGATGACTTGGCTTCGACCTGATTATTTCATGCTCGAGTTGTTCTGCACGCTGTCCGGTGTAGCTACGAACATGCTGATGTACCCCGCACTCGAACTGCGTCATTTGTTCGAAGGGAAAGCTGCCGACCGGGTTATCGTTTTTGTCATTGGGGCGCAGCTTTCTAGCGGTGTAGTACCGGTCACAATGGACTATTTGCTTTCAAGCAGAAACATGTCTTATCAGCGTATCATGATGATCTACGGCGGCTGCATCGCAGTACCGCTCACGATGTTAATGCCCTTCTGCTTGGTTGAACGCGAGTCCCGGCCTCACACGAAATCGTCCGTAGTGAAAACCATGGGTGAAAGCCCGTCTCCTATTACAATGAAAGAATCGATATTCAGTTACACGCCGTGGCTCATGACGGCTTTCTCAGCTATTGCCATGTTCAGCGCCTCTTTTTGGTATTCTTACGCGGATAATATGCTCGGCTCGAATTATTCACGCCTGCTAGGCTACTTGACCTGTATGCAGATGCCGGCTACTATGATAATGGGCCAAATCCAAGAGATCATGAGCATTAAGTTCACCTGCAATCTCGTATTTTGGTTGTACACCATCAGCTTCGTGCTGCCGAGCTCCTCTACATTTTGCTGCTACACGATGGTGGTACTGGCTACGTTCGCAATCTCTTACTCGTACACGATGAAGTACAGCGTGGTCGAACATCTTATAATGCCAGAGCACTATAACACAGTCGTAGGCCTTATGAGCTTCGTTTTGGGTATGCTCTTGTTATTGGTTGGTTATTTAGAGGCATTGTCCATCAACGTTGATACCTTGAAACTTACTTACTTGATTTTGTGCGCAACTGCATCCAGTGCATTCGAGTACTGTGTAACTAGAGCCTGTAGTGCAGACAAAAAACGCTACGCTGAGTTGTTACATCCCGCGCAAAGAACGCTGAATACGGACACGGCTGTGAAGGATGAGCAGCTCAACAAGCTGAACATCGACCACTCCACCTTGCTTCGAAAACGGGAGACTGACGACTTCGGAAATGCAGACCATGCAGCTGAAATCTCGTCTGTCTAATTGAGCCTGGTTCCGCGCTTTTGGCATCCTCTTGCCGACTTCGCCTTTCTTCGCGGCGCAACAACAGCTTGAGCTTTCGCGTAGCCTGTTTGCGTGCCTGCTTGCCAACCGGCAAGCCTACACATTTTTGTCCGGCAGAGAGCTATGCCGCTTGCGTTTTCTTGAGTTCCCGTCAGCAGGTAGCTTTTGCTCCGGGTGCGGTTGTTGACGTGCGCAAAGAAGCGCGGACTCTGTTGGTTGTCTCATCTGCAATCGAATGGCCGCGGCACAGGCAGACATGCGCCTCGCAGTGACTGTTTTTCGCTCCCGATTAGAGGCTTGATCGCCGCAAGAAGGTGAACGACCCTTCCTGAGCGGTTGTGCTTCTTTTTCCGCGACTGCTGTTGTGCGGCGCCTGCCAGCGCTGTTTGGTCTTTGGCCTCTGCGAGCTGCAGGTCCCGCGTTGCGAGACTTTGACCGTTGGACTGGTGCTGCAGCGTCGTACTCGCTGCGCACAGCATGGGGCAGGTTTCCGCTGCGTCTTACAGCACTGCGGAGACTCTGCCAGCGTGCGAACTGTTTGCTTATGCAACGGCGCAGTCGGAAGCTTTGGGGCCTCGCTCAATAGCAGGAGAGCTCCAGAACGCGCTTCCGCGTCGCTGCGTCTAGTGGTGCGCGCCGCGTCAATGCAGTGACGCCAGTCTCAGAGCGTAAGACGTGACCTAGCTTCACTAATTGCGCAGATCGCTGCGTGGTGGCACGCTATGCGACCGTTATGCAGCGCTTTCTGAAGCTTGATAGTTGCACTGAATACCCACGAAACAAGCTGTGGTAGCAGTGCATCTCTCGAGAAACCTGCTGCAGCAGCTTCTGCAACAGCTTGCAGCTCTGACGCGACTGTAGAAAGTGACGATGATTTACGCTGAGTCTTGACGTTGCGCTGACCGTGGTCTCGCGTAAAGAATTTGAAAAAAATGGCATTTAGTCGCGGCTCACTTCCCTTCAGCGGTGAAAGTCAATCACAGCTCTCGCTTTCGCATTGGGGCATTCCTTGCGTCAGTGTGCGCTTCTCGAGCTGCTCGTGGTTGGGGTTGCGATAACATAGTGCGTCGAGCGGAAGCCTCTTCAGACGCTGCGCTCGCACACTCTGTTGCGCACCTGCAAGCTCAGCGCGTGTAGAAACTTTATTTGAATGACCTGTTTCTGACGTGGATGCTCAAAATTTGGCACGTTGAGCTCGCGGAAAGAAGGCACTGCCTACGATGAAGAATCGTCCAATCGGTGGAAACTTGCTAGCGGTGAAGGGCTGTTATGCAGCTGCAGCGCACTTTGATTGCAGTTGGCGTAGCTGCGTCAAGCGAGTTGAACTCTCGTCCCTTACTGTTTTTTTATTCTGTGCACTGCATTGAAACTGCCTTCGTTCTGCAACGACATTTTAGATGTTAATCTACTAATAACGGATCGGGTATCGAACTGCGCAACTCTTTGTAAAGTTCGGCAGACGTAAACGGTCGAGCGTTTTTCGGCGCTTCCCGCGGTGCCACTTGATTTTTCGCTGACCGCACGAAAGCAACTCGGCATGCGCGCCACCCACCAATCACAGTCCACAGGTGAGCGCCCATCATTCGCAGCACGCGAGTCGCAAACGCTGGCGCCCTGCTCGTGCGTAGAAGCTAAAAGCAGCGGCGAAACTGAAGCTCCCGCTCAGTGCTGCAAGAATGCGCAGCTCGGAATCGGCGGTTCTAGTGCAAAGGCCGCGCGAAACAGTTGTTCTCACGCTCGCAAAAACCAGTGCTAATCTGGCGCCTTAGTTCGGATCATCACGAGTGCCGCCGTGAAGAGTTGAAAGTTGACACTTCGAACGTCAATTGTCTGCTGCGCGGTTCACTTTGTTCCGCCGCTAACTCTAGCGACAGTCGTCTTTGCATGGTTTAAACAGAGGATGGTCCCGTCCAGTACGGAAAACTCTACAAGGAAAGATTTGTTTCAATCCCAGTCTTGCTGAGAAACTTTTCGCTAGACAACGCGCCACACAACTTTAGTGGAATTTCCAGTGAATACTGCGACGCTGTATGAGGTTTCTGTTCAGTACGCATTGAAGCAAGTCTTTCTGCAGCGTGTCTAGCTTAGTGACCGCGACGCGTCTGCTAGCGCGCGCGCTTTTCGGAACTTGCGTCGCGAAAATGGTGCTATGTTGTCCAACGAACCGCACAATGATTTCACAGCTTTTGCTTTTGTTCTGCGCTGTATCATACCTCGCAGTTTATGCTAAACTGTTGTGAGCCGGCATTATTGGTAGCCTGCAACGTTGAAGTTGCTTTAATCGAGAGCTTCTATATTTCGCCGTGTACTTCTAAGTTGTCATCAACTCGGCTGAACCATCTTCTGGCATGAACGCGTTCGAGACTTTTTTCCCTTCGAAGCTCGATAACATAGCTTGAGTGTAGGAGGATTAGCGTCGCTTATCTCGCTAGTTTGTTGGAGAATAGGCCACATAATTTCGCGCACCTTGAGAGACAACGTGTTGAGCTTCAGTGACTGCCAGCGAACAAGCCCGTGTACTCGAGCGCGCGAAGTAAAAAACGTTTGCGAAAAACCAGCAGCAAGGACGCTAAGCGAAAGATGCGTCGGATAATACTGCCAAATATGCTCAGCTGCACCTTGGCACTTTTGTTAAGCAACAGCGTGTCGCTCGGCTGTTAGCGAGCTGACACATGAAGATTGCACACCTCTTCAGATGGTTGGTTGTGTTCTTTTGCTAAGTGCCGCGCAGAGCCGTGCTCTCGATACACTGGCATCAGAAACAGTCGCCACCTCACTTCACCGAGCGCGCGTGCCGGTCCATAACGATTAGTTCAAATATACTGCGGTTTGCGCCAGTACTCTGACGGCTTTCCGCGCTCGCACATAGTGCATTTCGCTGTTGTCATTGCGCAGTGTGCGACGTCCTAAATGCAGCGCATCCGGATGCCGGACAGCGTGACGTGCCTGTCGAACCGCTCATCTGTGAGCTCTGTCGCTGCGAGCCGATCAGCATTGTAAATTCCGAGCTTCTATCCGCTGTGACGTCGACGCGACGGCTGCCTCAAAGGAGTGAGAACCTAATTGAAATGTTTCGTTTTGCAGCGAATCACATGAAACTAAGGAACCATTATATAAAATTACAAAGTGGACATATTTTTAGCCAGACGCAGCGACTATGGAGACAAAGGGGGGACCGGAAAAAGTCTATGATGCTCACGAGGTGGCTGCAGCTATCGCATTGGCTTCGCTACTGCTTTTTCTCGTACCCTGCATACCTAGCTCATGGGAGCCGTTCGAAATCTTGCAGGCAGCAAATCAGTATGGTGCGGATGGCGCAGCGCAACTTCTAGATAGTAG